CTAAAGTAGTGTGACAAGAACGTTGGGTTTCTACATACGTAGGTGTTGGAGCAGCAATTTCGTGTGGCTTGGGGATTCGGATGGCATGTATCTTGCCGCCGTCAGTAGAGCGTGTCGACGTTGACCGCGAGCTGTCGGCCACGAAGGACGAATAAGAGGATATGGCGATGAAAAGGAGTGCATCGCACGACAGCCGGCGCGAGCAGCCGCATGCAGGCTCGATGTTGAGACACGATTCGAGCGTTGGCGGGATGTGCGTACACGTAGAGTGTGGCGGCAGCGACCGGAGCGTGGACGCGCCGTCGGATCGGATGTGGCCGTAGCGCGAACCGTTCTGGACGCGCAAGCGCATGACGTCGCGGCGGTCATGGTGCTAGGCACATTGCGCCATCACTCGCAGCGTCGTCGCAGGACTTGGGAGCTTGGAGGAGCGCATCTCGGAGGCGATCTCGTGGCCGACGTGCGAGAGAGGCCGTCGAAAAATTGGCCAGGGCTCCGCCCAGGGGCCAACTCGGCGGCTCGTCACGCATAGGTAGGCTGCGCCATACCTACAGCGACGTCGCGTGAGCGCCTCGGCCTGAGGCCTGCGCACGGCTTGCCACGTGCCTGGTCTGGCGGCGATGATCAGCGGCTCGAGCACTGGCGATTGGCTCGATAGAGAAGGCCTTGGCGCTCTGATTGGCCACAAATCTAACATCTTGGCGCTCTGATTGGCCGGAACGCTTTGGCCTGGCGTTGACGACAATGAGCGAGACCGACGAGGAACACTGCATTGCGACCGAGCGACACTTTATGATGGCGTAGAGAATGCTGATGGAGTCTCCTCGAGCACAATGCAGCAGCGTCAGTGGTGCCCGAGGAGCCTCGGCGTCGTCTTTCTGGCGTCGCCGTCGTTACTATTGCCGTTCGCCATTTGCAACCATCATTACCATATTTTGGTGAACACAGGCCCGCCGCGCCGGCGGATCGACCAGAATGAAGTTTGAAAATGAAATCGCCCATACTTGCCAGAGTGCTAGACCACATCTTGGGGAGTCCAAAATACTATGTGACGTCGCCGCGCGAGCTCGTAGCGAGAGCAAATGACAGCGGCAAACAATATATTTTATAGTGTGCTTTTTCGCTATACTGAAATACTGTATCAAGATACAAGGCCTCATCACGCAGCGGTATCGCGCGCACTTTGCCTCCCTCGGCCACATGCAACACGCTCTTTAATATGAATAAATAGAGACGGCGTCCTCGGTTTTCGCGATCTTGACGCATTCCCAACCGAAATTGCACGTCGAATTTCGTGCCTCAGGACGCTCGGCAGTTCGAGTTTAGTGTGAGTGCCCAAGCCACGACGGCGACCAACAAGCTGGTCGCACACCGGGTCGAGACCCATCGCCAACTGTGGCAGCCAGTCTTACGGTCCTTAGAGCTTTGGAACCCCGCGATGTCTCGTGAAGTATTTGGGCAATTCTGCCACCACCTCGAAAAATGGAAAATGGATTTGCGCGTGATTGCGCTACGTGCAGCGTCGGAAACGACATTTATGTCATTCAAGAAGTGTGTGGAGAGGCTGCTACGTGGCGCTGGCGCGTCTGTGGGCTGCTACTCGTCTTTGTACTGAATGGTGCGCACACTATTGAAGAGTCGTGCACCAAGTCTTGTGATTGGCTAGAAAGAATCAAGGACGGAGCCAATGAAAACATAAATACCAGATCGAGCTCCAAACGAGCCACATGCACAAGAAGTGGTGTGGACGCGCGCGAACATCGGGAAGGTCCAGCGTGACGAGCAGCTGCACCATGAGGCAGAGCGCGCTGCCTTCTGCGAGAAGCGGACCTTGACGGCCGCGTTGAGGCGCTCAAAGAGACCAAGCCGACGCCGCCGGTCATCGACCTCTTTGCGCCCACCGAGACCGCGCCACCGCCAGTCGCCAGCATCAAGAAGTACTCTGACGAAGGCATCGCGCTCGGCAGCGCGCTGAGCCCGGTCCACAACCAGATAGACGGACGCAAACCGTCTTTCTCGCAACCTTGTCGTAAAGCAGAGCCAAGACGACAACGACGCCACAGAGGCGCCACTTGTGGTAATTTCCATGCACTAGTATCTAACTACCTGGAGAAACTGGTTGGGCGAAAGAGGTTGCTGGTGGATCGGCGGCAACTGCACCGGGAGCGTGCTCGGCCCCACGCGAATATCAAACCAGTACTTGAGCATGAATTTGAACCGGTCGGGCACTGCCTTCGACGTAAGCAGGCGTCATATCAGGGAAAGCGACGGCATAGTGAAGGTGAAGTCGGCAAAGTTGCCCCACAGCGCGTAGGCGTTGGCAATGACAGCCATGCTTGGCGTCGACCAGGCCGGGACCAGGAACGTCGTCGTGAGCGCGGCCTGCATGTAGCGTAGCGAGTGGCCACGGTAGACAACGTAACAAGCGCCGGTTTGAGGCCGAGGCCAGCTTGATGTTTTGGAGCGAAGACAATAATTTGACGGAGGAGCCGGTGGCCTTGCGCACCCGCGCCGAATAATAAAATATTCCGTGGTACCGTCGCCTCGACCCATCAAATAACGTACACGCCGCAAAATAATGTCCAATTCGTGTCGTATTAACTGCACAAAAGTGGCATATTTCAGGTTGCCGCGTCGTCAATTGCTGGCGATCCACAGCTTTGTCAGCGAAGAAACGAAAGTTGTGAAAAATGCAAATTATTAGTACGAAACAAACGAGATGACGCTCATGCCGTCTCTCGCTTCTCCTTGGGCTTGTGCTCGACGGCCCACTGCAGCGCGACGTCTTGGAACGCCTCAAAGTGCTTTTTCCGCATGATCTTCTTCTCGAGAATGTCGTCGAGCTGCTTGAGACCGCCAAAGAGGCGCTGGTCCACAATCAGGTCGGCCATGTGGTCAGTGATGTGGCCTTCGAACGTCTCGGTGAGCTTTTCCTTGGTCGCTGTGTTCATAAACTTGGTCAAAAATTGCATCGTCTTCTCGTCGACTTCGACGGACGGCGCGTGGTGCGTGGCGTGGTGCTTGCCCATGGTGGTGGTGGTGGTGGTGGCTGCAGAAAAGCAAATGGGAAAATGACCGAAGACTAGAGAGTCGTCAATGATACATAGTCGCGCGAACAAAGTCATCGCCACGTCGAACGTCCATAAAAGAGAACCCGCGAAGAGACCCCCTACCGCCGGAAGACTGCAATCGTCGCAGCCTCGCGTTTCTGGGCGCCACGTGTCGCCATACATCTGTTTCTATGCGCCAACTGCAACACGCATAAAACCGACA